ACTTGAGCTCCGCAAAACTCGTCGACAAGCTCAACCTACCAGTATCCCGGCGTACGGTGTCACGGATCCTTACATCCTCTGGCATTTTCAAGTACGTCAAGATGAACAAGGCGCCTCGTTTGAAGCAGCGGCACAAGGATGCCCGGGTCGCTTGGGGCGAAAAATATGCCAATACTACTGATGATGTCTGGGCCCGTACCTTCTTCTCCGACGAGAAGAAGTGGAACTTGGATGGCCCGGATGGACTCAAGTGCTATTGGAACTGCCTCAGGAACGATCCGAAGGTCGCGTTCAGTCGCCAGAACGGCGGTGGCTCGGTGATGGTCTGGGGCGCCTTTTTTGCCAACGGCAAGACGGAGATCGCGTTCCTGGACGGCAACCAATGCGCCGAAGACTACGTCCAGACGTTGAAGAAATACCTTTTGCCCGTCATGCGTCGCAAATTCCGACGTCGCGGCATCTTCCAGCAAGATAACGCCAGCATCCACACGGCCAGGGTGACGAAGAGCTTCTTTCAGGAGTCGAATTTGACCGTCATGGATTGGCCTGCGCTCTCTCCCGACCTCAACCCGATTGAGAATGTGTGGGGGCTCCTTGCGCAACGCGTCTACGGCTTCGGCAAGCAGTACGACACTGTTGACGACCTTAAGACCGCCATTCTGGCCGCGTGGGAAGGACTCGACCCTGTCTACCTCTCGAACCTTGTCGCCGGCATGACGAAGCGTTGCCTTGATGTCTACAGGTCCAAAGGAGAGCCTATTGGCAAGTAAACGCTCAAATAAAGCTTCGATTTGCATCGTATTCACCATATTTCGGACTTGAACCTATCTTTCTTGCCAGGGTCCAAAACCCATTAGTAGCGATTCCTCCGCCAATTTCCAACATTTTTCACCAATTCCGGTGGCAATCGATCGCTTGTGGCAAGAGCTTTCGATTGCCACCCTTTTCACACTTGTTGGTGAAATACTGTAACGGCTGTCACAAAAAGACGGCTGAACCTATCATATTGGCCCGCACTGTAGGATGGCAAGACCGCGCTGCTCCTGGCATCTACAAATGGGCACGAGATTGCCGTCAAGTTGCTCATCAATGCCCAGGCAGACGTGAATCTCAGCGATCTCGTGATGCTTTTGTGTCTGCAATGGCACAGTTCACATGTAAGCGCCTACTGTAGAACGGCAAGACGCCGTTGATGATGGCGGCCATGCACGGGCACGAAATTGCCGTCAAGTGGCTCCTCGATGCCGATACAAAAGTGAACCGCACCGACAGAGTATGCAACCTCGTCCACTCATATTGCATTGTTTTACATTTCAAGCTCTGTTAGAGCGACACGACGGCGCTGATGCTGGCCAGCGCCAACGGTCACGATCGCGTCGTTCAACGCTTGCTCGCCGCCGGCGCCTACGTCCATCTCTGCGACAACGTACAACTCGTCGGCGTATCGAATCACATTTGACACATTGCTGTAGAATGGCGACACCGCACTCTTTCTAGCGTCTCGTCAAGGACACAGTGCGATTGCGCAGCGACTTCAGAACGCTGGGGCCCAGATGAGCCCGACCCCCGCCGAGGTAGCAGCCGCCGCCACGCCGCCAGAGGTGAATGGAGAGTATCCAAGCGCCAAGAGGCATTCGAGACATATGTTTAGCATGGCCCTCTGTTGGACGACGCGTGGGCCTCGTCGAGTACGCTTGACTCTCCCGCGGGCCTCGTCGAATACGACCCGCGGGCCTCGTCGAGTACGCTCGACTCTCCCGCCAATACAAGCCAGACGAGCGAAGTCAGCGAGGTAGAGACCTATCCTGTCTCGAACTCATTCATTCGACGCGATGCAGGAGCCTCCATCAACGCAATCAACCCCATGTCCCTCTTCGAACGACGAGGCTACTGCGCTCGGCAGCGCGAAGGAAGAAGCTGCGATCACCGAGCTCCAAGCTCGCTTTGCATGGTTCGGAACGTCCGAGTCCGACCTGATGGACTTTTATACATAGTGAGCGCCCTCGTAGCGCACCAAACAAGAGCGCGACGCTCGAGAAGAAGAATGTTCTGCGCCACAAGGGACGACAACCCAAGAGATAAATCCCACCCGGCACGAGCGCTCGTGGTAGCTGCTTGGCATGCATAGAAAACGATACGCAATACCAGCCTCACCCACACGTAATTGGAAGACGTAATAATGCATTGATTCCTCTCGTCTTTTCCGCGTCTGTAGTTGGAGACTGCGTGAGGAGGACACCAATATTTTGTGGGCTTGGCCATACGTAGCGAGGAGCAATGTGTCTACGTAGACGTGTCGGTCAGTTGCCTCTCGAGTTTGTTTGTCTGTATGTGTGATCGCGCATCCGCTGTCGCTTAAAGACTTGCTAGAAGAAGAGCTGATTGAACAATGACTCGATTAGCCTGAGCTGAACCTAGCTGCTAGGCATGCGCACTAGCAACTATCTCGGACACAAATCTAACCCTATTCTCCGCCCTCGGTCCCTTCAGGGGTGTAAAGCACACTCCAACAAAATGCGGACCTCTGAATCTGGAGGTTCGCCACAGCACGCGCAGAGCAGAAAACCTACTCGACTGTCTGGCGCGAAAGTTTGAGTTTTCGACGCCGTGAGCGTTAAAGTATATGCACAAGTCGACTCGCTTGTTCGAGATTGCGGCGACGTCGCGCATGATCTTTTTGATGTGACGGTAGGCAGCATGTCAATGCTTCCAAAATGAATTTGATTTGCTTCGAGCGGTTTCCCACCACGAATGTCTACCTCTGCTGACGTGTGGCGCAGAGCTGCAGACATCCTGGTTGGCTCAAAAGCCAGTGTCGTTTCACCCACCACGAGTTTGCATGACAGGTGTCCCGATGACGACGCCGACTAGTATGCCGACGGTACGCTTCCAGCACGACGCACAGATATTTGGAGCGAACGACGTAGCATCCGCTCATCCAAGCTGCCCGACAAGGGGACCACAATGAAGTCGGACGGCTCTTGACCAATGAAGGCGCGAGCGACATCAACGCCAAAGACGAGGTTGTTTGACGCTTCTTCAGTCAACCCGAGGGGAATGACACCGAAAATGAGCCCACGGGATGTTCATAGGAGGGCAAGACAGCGGTGATGGTGGCGTCAGCGAATGGACACACCGGCGTGATCCAACGCCTAGCCCAACACCGGGCAGACGTCAACCTTGTCGATAACGTATACTTTTTTGACGTGTACAGACGGAAACGAGACATGATTTGGGTAGGACGGTATGACGGCGTTGATGATGGCGTCGGCGAATGGGCATACGAACGTGGTCCTACGTCTTGTGCGCCCACAGAATCATGCCTACGGCAATAACGACTCTGAACGCTGGGCAGACGTATTGCCCAAGAGTAAAGTACGCGACATTGGAACGCATACTTGCGAGAACCGAACGATTGTGTAGGCGGGCAAGACCGCGCTGATGATGGCCTCGGCAAATGGCCACGCCGACGCTGTCATAATCATTCTTCGGCAAGCAACGTACCCGAACCAGAGGACTGCGGGCATATTCGCCATCGATCACGTATAGTACTTTGTTGCAAAGTGCGTCGTACTACATCGAGACTGTAGGATGGCAGGACGGCGTTGATGCTAGCGGCTATGCATGGTCACTATCAACGTAGCTCGAAATCCTACTTCAACAGTTGGACTCCATGCGTGGCACAGGCAACAGTCACGCCGTCGACAACGTACCTCGCTACTTTGCTATTGCCATTTTGGTCAAAATTTCCATCTCTATAGGACGGCAGAACAGCGTTGATGTTGGCGGCGATGCATGGCCACACCAACGTGGTCCAGCACCTCCTCGAGCAAAGCGCAGACCTTAGCGTCGCCGATAACGTATCGATGTGCTGCAGTGTGCACGACGTGCTGAAATCAGTTGCTTCGTAGGGGGGCAAGACCGCGTTGATGCTGGCGTCAGCCTACGGACACAGTGGTTTGATCAAACTCTTCCTGCAGCGCTCGGCAGACATCCACCTCGTCGACAATGTATGCGATACAAAGTGACCTTGCAACCTTAATTTCATTTTAGGAGGGCAAGACAGCATGGATGCTGGCATCGGCCGGCAGGCACGCGGACGCGGCCCGCCTCTTTGAGCAGTGGCAGGACGCTCATCGCAGAGATCGGGTCTGCAACGTTTTCTTTAATGATTTGAAGCAAACATGACTATGTAGGAAGGCGAGACGGCGTTGATGATAGCCTCCACCCATGGGTACACCGATGTGGTCGACATCCTGCTGCAAAGAGGTCCGGTCGACGTCAAAGTCATCAATTCCATCGACAGCGTACGGCAGTCTGCCGTGTGTGTTTTCTTAAGTGGTTTTGTCTCTAGAATGGCAATACGGCGCTGATGCTGGCGTCGCTTAACGGGCACATCGACATTGTCAAACTTCTCGCCCGGCACTCGGCCAGCGATGCCACCAATAATGTACGCTACGTTGCAATGTCCACGCGTATCTTGTACGGAGATGAATACGCTGTATGTAGGAGGGCAAGACGGCGCTGATGATGGCGTCAACGAATGGGCACGCTGACGTGGTCCGCCTTCTTCGAACCACCACAATTGCAGCTCTCCTTCACATTGATCAAGCACGCTCGATTGGGTCCCGCTGAGCTGACCTGAGATTTGTGTCTAGAGCGGCAAGACAGCGTTGATGATGGCAGCAGCCAATGGCCACGCCAATGTGGTCCAAGTCCTACTTGATAAATCAGCTCCACGAACGTTTCAACCTTACATCGATCCAGTTCAGCACGTCAACGACGCGGATAAAGTACGCCAACGTACGAAGCGCGTCGCGCCAAGATGTGCCTATAGGAGGGCAAAACGGCGTTGCTGCTGGCGTCCGAACACGGCCATGACAGTGTCGTCAAGATCTTGCTGAGCCGCAATGCTTGCGTGCTACATGTCGACAATGTGCACATTCTCTCCGCCATAAAAACGCAGCGTTGGGATTCGTTTTCTTATAGAAAGACCGGACGGCACTGATACTGGCATCCACGAATGGACACGAAGCCGTTGTCCGATGTCTGCTCCTTGCTGGCGCAGCCGTCAACTTTACCGATCCGGTTCCCCTCATACGGTCCCATGCAGGTCGCTGACTCGTTTCTAGGATGGCCGAGCCGCGTTGACCGTTGCCTCCGCACACGGCCGCGAGGTCGTCGTCCAGTGGCTGCTCAATGCACAAGCAAATGTGAACGTCTGTGATCGTGTACGTAGCTGTCCCAGGAGGCGGATCGTTGATTCCGCCATGCGTAGCACGGCAGGACGCCGTTGATGCTGGCGGCCATAAACGGCCACGAGACCGCCGCCAAGTGGCTCCTCAACGCCGATGCAAAAGTCAATGTTATCGATCGCGTACGCGGCTGTTTCCAGCTGGTGGGTGGCTGATCGCAAGAGGTGTAGGACGGCAAGACACCACTCATGATGGCGGCCATGAACGGCCACGAGATTACGGTCAAGTGGCTGATCGATGCCGATGCGCAAGTGAACCGAAGCGACAGAGTACGAACCTTCTTTTAGCCAAGCTAGTCAAAACTACATTTCTGTAGAGCGACAAGACAGCACTGATGCTAGCCAGCGCCAACGGTCACGATCGCGTCGTTCAACGCTTGCTTGCCGCCGGCGCCAACGTTCATCTTTGCGACAACGTACGCAGCATATCTCTAGTACAATTGAATCGTAATATCGTCGGGCGCCTGACTGTAGAATGGCCACACCGCACTGTTTCTCGCATCTCGTCATGGACACAGTGCCATTGTGCAGCGACTTCAGAACGCGGGAGCCGCCATGGACCCTGACCCTACGGCAACGACCGACACGACACCCGAGGTACATTGACCGAACGCCATCATGAACTATGACAAACAACAACTTGTCTTCTAGCGTGGTCATCCGTCTGACGACACCGCTGCCATGCCAAGTGCTCGTGCGACCGATGTTTGCGCCAACAGACACGAAACCAACGAGGTAAGTACGAATCCACACTTCCCAATTGACAATAGACGCTGTGCAGGAGCGTCCATCGGCGCAAAGCTACTTCACGTTTGGCGGGTCGAGAGCTACGATGCCTCCTGCCAGCACAGCAGAGGAAGAACCTGCGGTCGCAGATCTCCAAGCTCGTTTTACCTTCTTCGCTGCATCCGAGTAAGACTCTAAAAGCACGATCGAGTGCGCATGGAGACGCACTCGTAGCACGCACGCCAGCGAAGTCGCTCCCAACCGCAGACGAATCGTGCGTGCCACGTCGAGACGATAATCCAGCTGACGATTCCAATCCCAACAAACGGTCGCGACGACGCTCCGACACGGCTGTGTTGTGACGCGTCGCAAGAAATGCAATGAATGTGCTACATTTGAAACAAATGATCTTATTTTCGTTTGGCTCATCGTAGTTTTGGCTGGATTTGGGTGACGCCATTCCAAAAGCACCTCATGCCGTAGGCGGCGTGACACCCGCTGGGCCATGGCGCGCTCCGGCGTGCCGTGTGCTCTGTGTCTTACGTCCATTGCTGTGTAAGTGCTGGTCGCTGGCAGCGGTCGGTGGTCGCGCCGATGGCGCCGCTCTTCGCGCGCTCGGCACCCAATGCCCCTCGACGATTCAAGGCCCGTCGAGTCCCCGGCGGCCGTCAAGGAGATGAGACGTCGCTGGCCCTCCCGTGCTTTCGCCCCGCGGGCGCGGTCGCCCTGCCTCCACGAAGTCCCGTCGCCTCCCGGCCCTCCGCCGCCGCCACCAGTCATCTGGCCTCGCCGTCGGATGCGGGCTCGGACAGTTTCGTTTGAAACACACCCGACGGCTTGCACTCCTCTGTTGGGTGGTCCGAGTACAGGAGCCTGCGTACGACCTCGCGCGAGCTAACCCTCGGCGAGTGGGGTCCACCACGGGATGGATCTCTGCGTGCGCAGCTCACTCCCAACGACCAAGTGCTAGTGCCAACTCCCACGCATTCAGGCGTAGCGCTACATATGCGAAGTCTTTGAGTTAATTTTTGCTAATTTGATTTCAACGCGAACACGTTTGATTGATTGATTGATTGATTGATTGATTGATTGATTGATTGATTGATTGATTGATTGATTGATTGATTGATTGGCACATCGTAAGCATTGCATCGCGCCAAGAAGGCTTCTTATTCTCCCATTACAATCGACGGTATTGGAAAGACGTTGCGACTTGTAGGTTGCGTCGCCCACGGAAGCGTGCTTTAAAGTAGAATTACGCGTTCGCCTTGCGATAGGCAATCACCGACGCACTGAGGCAAATAATCGCGGCGCCAAGGATGCTCCACAAATGCAGCGCCTCGCCGAGCAGCGTCACGTCCCATAGCATCACGCAGAGCAGGTTGAGGTACTGCAGCACGGAGGCGATGCCGGCCTTTTCAATTTGGAGTCCCTTTGTGATCATGAGCTGGCCAATGCAGCCGAAAAACCCGATCGCGAGCACAATCCCCGCCTCGTCGGTGGTTTGCGGCACGTACAGCCCCTACCCACGTTTTTTACAAAAATATTGTCGCAGCAATACAAGACAAGTTGTCTTCGCACCGATCCAAAGAGCGCAATTTTCGTGAGCGAGCCCAGCGTGCACGTGAGCAGAAAGTACGTGACAAGCGTCCACGTGTTCATGCTCTGGAGCATGCGGATGAGGATGTTGATGAGGCCAACACACACGGCTGTGAGGACGGCGCAGAGCATTGCGAGCGGCGGCGCCTCGGACGACGCCGCGTGCACGCCAAAGACAAAAGCGGGTCGCGCCACGCAGATGACACCGGCAAACGACACCAAGACGCAGAGACCGCCGACGACGTCAATCTTCTCGCCGAGGAGACAGACGCTCTATGCCATGGTCTCTTAACCTCGATTCGTTTCAATCCAAACGTACCAGGACACACGTGATGATGGGCGCAGTGAAGATGATGACAGACGCCTCCGAGAGCACCATTTTAGAGTAGGCATAAAAGGACATGGTCATGGCTGTATATCCGATGGCAACGCGAATGCATAACAGCTTGATCAAGCGCGGCTCGACTGCCAAAAGCGGAATCTTGAGGTAGAGCTGGACCGCCTAAGATCGTATATTTGCCAGTATAAATTAACTCGAAAACACAAAAGGTAGCACGTACCACGTTCATGACGAGCGCAGTCGACGACCGCCAAAACACAATCTCGTCCGCGTAGAGAAAGCGCGACGAAAACTTGATGAGCACCTACGCGACCCGAATGTATCAGTGTTTCAAGACACGTTGGACGTACCGACATGAGGCTCAGCGCAACGTTGCCGCCGATGATCATGCCAAAGCCGAAGAACTTGCCGTAGCTCGCGCTGATGGCGTGGCGCCGCTTGGCGAGGCGCCGAAGGACGCGCAGGGGCTTGCTGTCATGATGCACACCGTCGGTTGCGAGCAAGAGCGGCTCGGCGTCGGTCTCGGGGTGTACGAGCTCGACGACGGCCGAAGTCGGCATTTTGCACACTCGAATTCTCAAGCTTAGGTCGCAACTCGTTGCGTTTCAACGATCGTGCAATTGGAAAGCCGAAACGCTTGCTTTTCCCTTTGCTTTTCGCAAGCATGTGCGACACGCGCCATGGTTTACGACCCATGGCAATGGCCATGAGATTTTGAGCGCGGACGCCGTCTCGCAAGAGGTTGCCGTTAATGGCATGTCGGCGAGCCGTGTGGACACGGGTTGCCCACTTTTTGGACCTGGGTTCGATCCCGGCATCGAATGCATGTTGAGAATGCTCACGTCAGATAATGCTGCTCTGGACCGCGTCTCGCAGTGCACTCGTGCTGCGCGCGTTGGTATCGACCTTATAGCCTTCTTAGCCTTTGACACGATGGTCTCTATCCCACACGTCGCCGTCCGGCCAGGGCGGTCGCAAGCGATGGGAACTTTGTGATAAAGCCACTAGAGATGTGCAGACTTGCATTGGAAGAGCAGTTTCTTAGGACGTTGCGTCGGGGGTGGCTGGCAGCGTCGGCGCGGGTGGCCGCTTTCCGAGGAGAATGCCGGTTGCGACGCAGAGTACGAGGCCGCCCATTATAGTGTGCATGTGGATCACGTCCACCATGATCGAGTCGAGGAGGATGGTCCACGCGACCTTGAAGAAGACCATGGCGGCCGCAATCGGGTTGCGTTCGAATTGGTAGCCGCGGAGGAGCGCGAGCTGTCCGAGCGCCCGGAGGATGCCCATGAGCATGAGCAGCACGCCGTCGCCTTCAAAGATGTGATCCTACCGCACCGCTCGTTGCAAGATCGTGCGACGAGAACGTACCGAGCTCAAGAAGAGCAATTTGAGCAGCGCAAGGCCGCAGCTCACGGCGCTCATGTGCGTGTAGACGGAAAGCATCGGTGCTTCGTGGAGCTTGAAGAGCACGCCGTAGTAGAGCCCGAGGCCGCACGCGCCGCCGATCGCCCACGCAAACTCACGCGCGGCGTCCGGCGCCTGTACAAAGACGAGAGCAACGAGCGCACCGGTGCTGCACGCCATGTCCCGGCGGTCATGCACGTGCTGGACGAGCACCTTGGTCGCCTGTCCAAGTGCAATGTCAAAAACGGCCAAATGAATGTCAAAAATGGACAAATGAATGTCAAAAAGCAAGAAAATCTCTCCAAACGCACCACAAGGCCCGTGAGCAGACTCGACGCGAGAAGGAGGATCGTCGCGTCCGTGAGCTCAAACGTCGCATACGCGTAGCTCGAGACGGCGCAGACGAGGTACTGGAGGCCGCCAAGTGCAAAGACGTGCGAGCGGCTAATGCCATCAATGTCCAGAAGGCGCAGCCGAAAATGGTTTTGAAGCGCCTAGACAATATTGTACTCCTCTTCAACATGACAAGATTGTCGTATCAATGGAGCTACCACGCCGACGGCCATGCTCAGAAACGACTGCCAAAACACCATCGTGTCCACCGGCGTCGATGGGGCACCGTGCTTGGTCATGCCTAAGAGTCCGCACTCTCTTTAAGTAGATCCTTTGAGGGAATGATGTGGACGCACCTGCCACCAGTGTGACGCAGCACGCGCCAACGACCTGGAGCAAGAGCCCCACGCGCTCAAACTTGATTTGGAGCAGCGACGACTCGGGGCTCGGGGCTGGCGCCGCTTCGACACTGTCGACATCGGAGGACTCGGTGAGCGACTCGAAGGCGACGTCCGGAGTCTTGCTCGGCGTCGGCAGCACGCTGCTGAGCTTCGTCTTGAGCGCTTGGACGGTCGACGCCATGAGGTTGCGTGGCCGAGTGCGCTATTTTTACGCTGCGGCGCAAGATGGAGGCTCCAGGCTGGAACGGGCGATCGATCACCTAGTTCAGTCTCTCGTTTCTCGTTCTACATTCTACTACATTGTGTAATGTTTGATAGACAATACGTCCTACATGCGCATTGAAGGCGCGTTGCGTTGGCTGCGTGCAAGGGAATAAAAATGGACTTATTTTGGTGGCCCGAGACCACGTGATCGCCCATCCCAAGAGGTCAAGAGCCATCCGCCTCCACGATAGAATCGATCGTGGCTGCTGGAGGCTTGCTTGTGTGAGGCATCTAGTATAGCTATCCTAGGCAGGCGATCGATCGTCATGCTGCCTGTCCGCCACGTCTCGTCCTGGACTCCAAAAAAGGGCCTGGCGCACGTATAGTACCATATGGTAGTGTTGCAATCGTCGAGTGCCAGTTGCCAACATGGCCAAGTCCCTCGACGTCTACTTGACGCCGGAAGCGCTCCTCGCGCGGCCGTATGACCTCACGTACGAGAGCTCGGCCGCGACGTCGATCCACGGCAAGCGCCTCGTATGTCCTCAACGTGTCCTTGCGCGTCGTCGTATCCTGTCGTTCTGCGTAGGCGCTCCGCTTTGATGCGACGGGCAACTCGAGCTTTGTCGAGCTGAGCCGCCAAGACGTCTACAAGACGGTTCAGGACGCGGCGCGTGGCCACTGCGTGCGTTGCCATCCTTTGTCTCGTCCAAGCGCTTCTAAAGAAGGACATGGCGTAGAGCATGGAGCGCCAAGGATCGCTGGCGACCGAGATTCCGGTACGATGGCAGTTGAGAGACAGACGCCGAGCATGTGCCTAGGCCATTCACATGCGCGATATCCGCAAGCTCGACAACGCGTTTGCGATCGCGGTCGAGCCGTCGTTCACGATGCGTCGCCAGGCCATTTTGCTCAACGCAGGTACGACGACGCAAGACGATATTCTCCATACTTTCAGTCTACAACGCAGTCGACATGATGGACTAGATCCGCTGCGCGTGGTCATTCTGCGCGACGCGTGCCTCGTCTTTCTGCCCGACGGCGCCGACAGCCTCGTGTCGCTGCTCAAAACGAACTTTCAAGAGCACGTCAACGCCGACGCCATGGCATTTGAGTTTGCGTACGTTTTTGAGTTTGAATATGTGGCTTATTATGTGTTAGCGCGCTTGAAGCGGTCCTTGCAACCATTTGCAAGTACGCAGGATCGCTTTGTGTTGAGCAGCTTTCGAGTTGAATGTCTAGGCTCGTATCGAGTGCAGCGGCCAAGATCGCGCCCCAAGCGACTGCAGTCGTCGACAAGATGCTCAAGCACGGCTTGATCACGACCGAGCTCGAGGCGCTTCGGTACATCAAGAACTCGCTCCACGAGCTCGAGGCGCAGGTTGGTTTGTGTTGCATCCTGCAAAGACAGACGCAGAACGCCATTTTTTACCTAGGTGAATGGCATCCGGCGAGCGCTCATGGAGCTCCTTGAGACGGACGAAGACGTGCACATGCTGTATTTGACGAAATTGCATGCGTCGCCTGGGATGGACGTGATGAGCTTTGATGCGGAAGACGCCGAGTCGCTCCTCGAAGTCTACCTCCAGGTATGTTGTTTTTCTTGCATTTTGTGCTTACAAAGCGGTTGTAGGACATTTATGGCACGCAGTCGCGGATCGCACTGCTGCTGAGCAACATCCAGACGACCGAGTCGATGGTCATGCTCAAGCTCGACACGAAGCGAAACTACTTGCTCACGGTCGACCTGACGCTGACGCTGTGCACGACTCTCATGGCCATCCCGACGTTCATCGTCGGCAGCTTTGGCATGAACCTCAGCTCGTCGATCGAAGAGGACGACTACTACTTTTGGAGCATCTTTGGCTTTTGTGTGCTCTTTCCGTTCGCCACGTACACGCTCATTCGCAAGTACCTCGGCCAGCGCGGTGTCGATCTGAGCTGGAACAACTAAGATCTCGTTTTTCATGTCATCGGCTCTCTCAACGGCTACACTGGGATTTTAAAAGCCTGCAAACTGCAAATTTTCGGCCGACGTGATGCTCTCGGCGCTGTCGACACCTTGCTGCGCGCCGTCCACGTGCTGAAAGCCAGTCTCGAGCTCCGGGCCCGACGCCGCGAGATCCGACTAGGACGATTCGGTAGTAGGGGTAGGGTAGGTCTAGGTCTCGAAGCGTACCGATAGGTCCCGAAACCACGGGTGCGATTGAATCGATGGACCCAAGCGCATGGCAGGATCTACTTGCAGCAACCCTCTAGTACACGCTCCCACCAATAACGACGCGAAATACAATCGAACATGAGAAAGGACGTACGAGATCAAACTCTGGAGCTCGGCGCTGAGGGGCACGTCGCTCGTCCATGGAAGATGCGCGGCCGTCTCACGCATGCGAGCAAAGTACGCGGGTAGCGAGCTTTCGTCACTCTTGTACGGCCATGGCGGTGACCCGTGGACCATCTCAAACAAGAGGACGCCGAACGCCCTAGGAAAATCCTCCAAATGCAAAAAATGGCGACAGAATGAAAAAGTCGCACCACCAATCGACCGCAGCATCGTAGCCGTGACCATCGAGGATCTCGGGCGCCATGGTGTAGTGCGTGCCGCACATGGCGGTGGCGCGTGTGGCGGACGAGGCGGCGAGTCCAAAGTCGACGAGGTGGCAGTGGCCGTCGCGCGTCAAGAGCACGTTGCCGCTCTTGATGTCGCGGTGCATGTAGCCGCGACCATGGAGGTCGACGATGGCTGCTGCGATTTGAGCGGCGCATGCTTTGGCAAAGCCTTCCGAGAAGCGCGTGCAGCGCCAGAGGCACTTGTACAGTGCCTCGCCGGGCAGGTAGCGCATGACGAGCGTCATCGTAGATGCCGAGCGCACTGAACGCACAAGGAGCGGACCCATGGCATCGGCTTCGAGCTTGCAGCGGTCTTCACGACCGGCGATCTCAATCTCCTTCACAGCTAATGGCCGCGCGGCTCATTTCCACGGACGAGGATGCGGATCGTCGTACCAAATTCTTGGGCTGTTCGCCTGTCTCTGCACTTGTAGACCCTAGTGACAGGTCACTCGCTGTGCAATGCAAGAGCTTGCTACCGGCCACAGCCGCCTTTGCCGAGCAGGTAGAGCTTCTCGAGGTCGGCCAAGGACGGCGCCAGGTTGTCGTCGTCCATCGCAAAGATTCCAAACCTGTCGGGTACCAGAAGCACTTCACGGTCGTCGTATGATTGGCTGAAAAAGTCGTTTATGCGCACTAGAGAACGGATTCGGCGATGATTGGTCGATTGCCATCTGTGCGGTGATTGGTGCCCGTGCAATAGCCAATCAGATGCGAGGATGCGTATCAAACAACCTTTTTTCGGGTGGCAGCGAGATGGCAGGCAAGCGCAAGGCCGCCGACGTGTCCGGCAACGAGAGCGACGACAGCAGCTTCGAGGTCGCCCCGGCCGCCCACGAGAGCGACGCCGCTGCCTCGGATGACGACGGAGACGACGACGACGAGGAGGATGATGGCTTTGAAGTCGTCTCGTCGAGCGCTGGGCCACTGGACGCGAACGCCCGCTGGCAGCAGCAGCAGCACATCTCGATCGTGGGCCCGAGCGTCGAGTACAAGGCGCCGAACGCCATGCGCGCGCTAGAGTCGACGCCGTTCTCGGCGGCGGCGGTGGCGCATTTGACGTCGAGTGGGTTTGGCACGCCGACGCCAACGCAAGCGCAGTCGTGGCCCATCGTGCTCGACAAGCAAGACTTGATTTCGATTGCAAAGACCGGGTCGGGTAAGACGCTTGCTTACCTTCTGCCGTCGTTCCACGTGCTTACGGCGCCCAAGAAGCACGTGCAGCGCACCAAGAAAAAGTACGCCTTCGCCGTCAAGCCCAAAGATCCGCGCCTCGTGATCCTCGTGCCGACGCGCGAGCTCGCCATGCAGATCCAAAGCGAAGCCAAGAAGCTCCTCAAGCCGTACCCGCTGCGCATCGTGTGCATCTTTGGTGGCGCGTCGACGAAAGAGCAGGTCGAGGCGCTCGACCTCCACGGCGTCGACGTCCTCGTAGCCACGCCCGGTCGTCTGCGAGATTTTGTGAGCAGCGGGCACCTCGGCTTGGACAAGGTCGAAATCGCGGTGCTCGACGAAGCCGACAAGATGCTCGAGCTTGGGTTTGAAGACCAGATCCGCCACCTCATGAAGCTCCTGCCGGCGACACGCCAGACGCTCCTCTTCAGTGCGACGTGGCCTGTCGCGATGCAGACGCTGGCCGCCAACTACATGCGCCTGCCCGTGCACGTGACGATCGGGTCCACGTCGTCGCCGCAGCTCAACCGCGACATTGCGCAGCACTTTCTCATCTGCACCTCCGAAGCCGACAAGATGGCCAAGCTCAAGCAAGCATTGGACATTGACGCATCGATGAAGGCGATCGTGTTTTGCCGCACCAAGGTCGAGTGCGACAAGCTCGCGACCGTGTACGCCGACCCAACCGTTGGGTGCGTGCACGGCGACAAGCTCCAGAGCGAGCGCACGATGACCATGAACGCGTTCAAGAAGGGCACGGTCATGACGCTCTTTGCTACGGACGTTGCGGCGCGCGGCTTGGACGTCAAGGACGTCGGCCTCGTCGTCAACTATGACGTGCCCGAAAGCATCGAGACGTTCGTGCACCGTGTCGGCCGCACGGGGCGCGCCGGCGAGCGCGGTGTTGCCGTGACGCTCCTGACTGCGTATGACATTACCTTTGCGCGCAAGGTGCCTGCGATGCTCAAGGCCGCCGACATGGACATTCCGAAAGAGCTCATCCAGCTCATGCGGGACGTCAAGGTCGCGCCCATCCGCGACGTGCAGCCCAAGGCCAAGAAGCCCAAGGTGCCGCAGCCGCGCAAGGCCAAGGCCAAAAACAAAAACAAAAAGGTCTCATCCAAGAAGCGCCGTACGCTCTGCTTATAAGAAAAGACTTGTATAAAGAATAGATAGAGAGATACGTGTACTACCTCTGCTATACCTACGTACGTAGTAGCTGGAGGGACATTGAGGCGACGTCAATCGGCGGTGCCACCGCTCTCGCACGCAGAGCCAAATTTACACGACGAGCCGGTTTCGATATCCAACTTGAACGGTCTCTTGACGTGTCCACTTCCCGGGCCGAGTATGCACGATTCGCAAGCTCGCATCGTGCAGCGCATCTCCAAGGACCACGACCTGCAACGGCGCCGCTTTCTCGAGTAGAACGCTGCGTCTCGTTCTTGAAAGCTCATGGAGGTCGTCTAGGACGCTTGAGCACCTTTGTACCGCTCGGTAGAACCACGTCCTGGGCCCGAGGAGGCTAATCCCATGCGAGTAGCGCGGCGCTGGACCTCGCCGACACGCTCGTTGTCGAGAACGGCGAGGTCGTGCGCTGGTTCACAAGCTCCAGAGACCACGTAATGCATGCACACGACGCGTCGTGATAGGTGATCAGAGAGGCTGTAGGGTGTCACCGCTAAAAGCGCCGCCGACCTGCACCGCATTCCGATCAAGCGCGCGTTTGTCAAGTCATGTCTCCGCCTCGAGTCCAACGTGAGCCGGAAGCTCGCCTTTCTGCATCAAGTACTACGTCGTCTCTCTCTCCCACTCGACTCGAAATGCGTCGCAGGTGCGCGAACATGGCGAGACGGCCTTCCGCGTCCTGCACGACTTGGAGTTTAACGCGATTTTGTGCAACCCAAACGCGCGCGAATGGATGCTGACGCGCTTTGTGACGCGCCACGTCGCTGGCAAGGTGGGCCCATGTCGACTTGACTCAATGGTAGGGGTATGACTAGTTTGGGCCCGCGAGCGCGACGCACGCGTGCCGCTATAGCCGCGCGGCGGCGCGTCTCCAGACCCATGTCCGCTTTTACCGCCCGCCGCAGTTCTTTTTGGTACCGAGCTGTACGACACGACGCTTTGAGATGCAAGAAGAATGGTCACATGGATGGATGTATAGGACACCGGACGAGAGGGGGCTTCAATTCCCACTCGAACATCACATGCTGCACTGTGTCAAGGAGCTCTCGTCGCCTTGCAACCCATTGGTCCAAGAGCTTACCATGCGCGTCGTGCATGCAATCGAGGTCGCATTGTGCCGCACGACGTACTGCAATGTTGAACATTGATCAACGATGACGTAGGCGTCGTCGGCGCACGAGGTCGTCCACATCCAAACCGATTTTGTCCTAACGGCCACTGACGACCTTGTTCTCGTGCGTGTTGCCGAGGTGCGCCGACGAGCCATAATGTTCTTCGATACACCGTAGTGTACCTCTTAGATTGTCTACGCTTCGGACGTTTGCAACCCACTCCAACGACCGACGCCGGCGGTCGCATCCAAGTCTGCCGCCTTGGTACGCGTGAAGCTGGTACAGAGTCCAACATATTGGTCGTTGATGCCCTAGCCTCGACGGCCCTTCTCGTGTCCTGGCGCATTTTGTATGGACCATCCGCCGGACACGATTGCAAAAGTCGACGACGAGACAACAACGTATGCCGTGACCAAAAAGGTACACACAACTAGAAACGATCGTGGATAGATTGGACTTGAGTAGTCCATTGTGTGGGCCGACCACGAGTCGCATCTGCTCTTGCGCGCCCAAGGCACAACGACCATGTTCCAGTCCAGCGCAACCAACCAAGCGCTCGTGACGGCCCTCGCCCAGTCATATACCTCGATCGAGAAGATTGAATCCATCGAGAAGCTCCTCACGCGACGCAACACGGTACTGGAGCAGCTCCAGTGGTTCTCCAAGCACGGTATGACGACGACATTAAATCGCTTCTTCACGTGGTCCTAGGACCCGCGCTGGAAACCACGCTGCCCATGGAGGATCTCTACAACAGCGTGCAAGTCTGCGCCGACTGCTGCACCATGTACCAAAAGCTGGATGATGCTCGGCGTCACCGCAGCAGTCGACCGCGCAAGGAGCCCAACGACGTTACTGCCGCGAGCGCTCGTGTGTTGGAGCTAGCGACGCCCAAGCATCGACCTAAATCAAGCGGGGCCTTGTCATTCGAGAAGCCGCGTAATCGCCCACGGCTTTCCAAATGCCTGAGCGGTCCAGCACCGTTTTGGCGGCCGCCAGACGAGTCGCCACCTCCGAGCTGCAGCACAACCCCTCTACCCACTCAGTTCTGAAATGCTTCTCTTGTGTTTAAATATCAAGTCAATCGATTTAAATATCAAGGCGATCCAGCTTTCGGACATCCGAGGCCAAGTAGATTTTGGCCGACGCCCGCCACCCGCCGTAACCGGCAGGTGGCAGCGTGTCTTCGTTCTTGCGCTTCCATAGCAAAACGAGCGTCGTGCAGAGGCATAGCACCTACGAGTCAAAAGTTGGGTGCTCGAATACTGTAGTATGGAGACGAATATACAAGTGTGTACCAGAAGAAACGTCGCGACCAAGACAGAGCCCCCGATGATCATCACCTGTGTCTTTTGCGTTCAAGCCATTCGCTGAATCGCAGTCATACCGGCTGCGTCATGTACTGGTGAAAGACGGCGGCGCAACTAGTGTCAATAGCAACAAATGCACTTTTGGTCGTCAACATACCCGATCGAGCCGGGCGACACCGCCGTGACGCCGCAGCTCCCGATCGGATGGTCGTACGGGCACGCTTGGTTGCGATAGCAGAACGGCGTGAGGGGATAATATTGGCTCTACACGTCAAATATCAACAAGAGACCTTGTTTGTGGCCGCAGTCGAGACCACGCTCTTGGAGTTCACGCAGACTGTCTGAGGAACGTTGGGCGGCCCAGGAAACTTGGTCGGAAACTCGTTGTCGTTGGGAATGCAGTTGGCCGGCGGCCCGAGGCCGCAGCAAAAGCTGTTTGCTTGCAGCTCCACGAGCGCCTAGCATCCAACGTGATGTGCTTGCAAACAGACACGACGTCGCACCGAGGCGGCCGTGTCGTCGCTTAGGCTTTCATTAAAGTACGTTTGCCATGCGAGGCTCAGACCGGCATAGTCGTCACTCTGTGGCACACTCGTGTCGAGCCTCCGGTTGCAGTAGTGTACCTGGAAGTACGCCATGCATTTGGCCCGAGTCACATTGTTTTGCATGTGGATCTACATGTCCTCGTGCTGTCAACGGCGAAGGGCACGAGTCATGTACGTTGACGAGGCAGTAGTTTTGGTCGAGGGCACGGTCGTGCCGTAAATGGCGCCGCCAATGATAAAGTGGAGGGTCATGAGGCCCCCGAGCCCCAGCGCTTGCTACATTTTCTCAATGAGGTGCGCAAGAATCGCGGAATGCAGCATGCCATGAGCAGCAGAAATTTGTTGTGGTGTTTGGCTCCATAGTAGCCCGCGGCGGCCGGAAATGGGTACAGACACGCTAAAAAGATGAGCGCTAATACCAGCACAAGCCTCGTCACTGTATCAATGGAGGAGAAAGCAATGCATGCAAGTAGTACCCCCACCAGAGCTGCCAATCTGGGACCCGAGGGCGAGTTGGGTGTGGTGCGACGCAATGAGCCCGATGCCGAGGCCGAAGAGGAGGATAGCAAGGACCTGCGCACATACATGTAGTCGGCCTTCGACCTCCTTTTGCTACGTACACCGAGGAGGAGACAGCCGACCTTGACGCCGATCGTGACCACGCCCTTGGCAAAGAGGTCGTCGCAGAGCATGCAATCAGGTCGATCTAAAAATAGATCCAGAGCCGACTTTGCCCTTTCAGCTTCAACCAGCCGACTCCAAGCTGATCGCCAAGAACTTGGAGGCGCTTCATGGGGGAGCAAGGAGAGCAGCCTTGGCGTCATACGCGCTGCTGCGATGGCTTGGTGGCGAGCACGTTGGTTCAGGCAGATGACATGGCTCTTGGAGACAACACGTACGTTGGATCGCGGTTGTCGGGGCGACGATGCACGTAGGGAGAAGAGAGGGAGACACTCGTCGCAGCAGTTCAATGGTAGTAGTACTTAATTCGGAACCCACTCTTTATTAATTGTTCTGGCACGTACGTTCTCGCCAGGGCGTGGCGATTACGCATGCGGAGCAGAAAATCGACCAACAATCGCAGCGATGATCCGTTTAGACACGCGACGGGTAGAGCATGACGCGGACCTGCTTGCCCATGGCGGCGGCGGGGAGGTTCTTGCGGAACTTGGCGCGGACGACGCCGTTCTGGCCGTGGGCGCGCATGACCTTGCCCCAGATGACGCGGAACTTCGAGTCGTTCTTCAAGGTCTTGGCCTTGTAGATGTACGCGATGCGCTTGCCGAGGTAGAAGTCGACATCCTTGCGGTCCTGGAGGCCCTGGATCTGGATGAGCGACGTGTGGGCGTGCTGGTTGGTGAAGCCACGCATGTAGCCCATGAAAACACCCTTAACGTACAAGCGGGTCGGCTGAGCTTCCGAAGCGACCATTTTATTCTCTAAGAAATGAGCGCATGAGCGACGGCAAGCCAAGGAGCAAGGCGCGGAGGATCATACCTACTGCTGAATCAATTGAGTGAGTGATACTGAGATTGAGCCAACGGCAAAAACCAAGCGAGCCCACTTGACTGGTTCCAAACCAATCACTTCCCTGGCCATCCGAACCTCTGTAGCGCGATAAAACCTCTCAGAACGCATTCTCCCGTTGCATATTTGAATTACCAAATCCGTGACGATTCCAAGTGATTCACATACGAATAGTGGAATAAAAGCAAGGGCCATTGCACTGCTTTTATAATTGTAATAAAAACACATGCATTCCAGCAGGTTGCAAAGCGTATCCGGACATGCATTAAAATACGACACGGGCATACCAAAATGCAGTGTATAGAATACAAGAGAGGAGTCTGGCCGAGACCGGATACGTGAGCCGGATGGATTATCCGGAATCACGACCCCACGAGCTGCCAGATTTCGCCGTGTGCTCGACGCACCAGGCCCGGCTCCATGCGCGCGCGACGATGGACGACGACGAGCAGGTAGACCCTGCATGATAGCATGTACAGATGAAGCTTCTCATGGCAGCATGCAACAAGATGCAGAGCGACGGTGCAAAGAGAATGTACAAGCACCGCCGTTAGCTCGATACATATACCATGCACCGATGGTGGCCAGCCCGCTCCATGATCGTTCAGCGAACGCATCGTCGTTGATTGCATGTCCGACACCTCTAGCGCATCGCCGGCGCTTGCTGTTCTACAGAGAGGATGGCGAATTTGTTCCACAGGCAGAGATCAACGGCGCGGGCCAAGATGAACGACGCAGGCCGAGATGAACGAGCCAGAGCAATGTAGTACTGTACGCAGCAGCATGCGCTACGATGCAGTATGGATGCGAGCACGAGAGTGAGCGACATAGCGAGTACTGGTGGAGGCGCATTAGGAAGTCCTTGCCGGAAGAGGGAGCGAGATGGGCGACGGACGCCACGCCCATGCTGGGAGAAACGGTCGTCCTAGAAAGGCAGCGGCTCGAGCGTCATGTTCGCCAAGGCCAACTTGGAGCGCAACATGTACGCAGCCTGCTTCTTCGAAAGCGTACGAACGCAGCATCGATCGATCTACTATCTGCCCGCCTCGTGCGTGATGCGTGGGATAATGATAGGTGCTCGCGGTCCTCCTCTTTTTCATGGGCGTCGGCATGGTGCAGTCGAATCACTACGGCTTGGCGCTCGGCGCGCGCTTTACCAGCGTCGCGGGAGGTCGATGCCTGCCTCATGGAGCGTGTCCGAATGCGCGATAGGGTTCATCTTTGTTGGCATTTCGTACGCGGCCATGGCGGTCTTCGCCTACTGCGGCGGCAAGCACCACAACAAATTCATCTTGCTCATGGTGTGCTCTCTGCCAACTCGGAATGCCCTTTGACCTCAATTCATCATGTGACTTATAGCACCTGGGCGGTCTCTCGGCACTTGTACACGAGCATCGTCGTCCTTCTTCCCCACGCACGCTGCATGTAGATGTCGTTTCAGTCGCTCATCGCCTACGCCGGGCTGCAAACGGCGGCGCCTGATTACGCCTACGACGTCCAGGACAAGTGCTTGACCACGGTCTGTCTCTTTATTTGATGTCTACGACCGATTGGATCACGCTACTCTAGTCGCACGTCCGCAACGAGACGAACGCGCAAGTTTGCGCGGCGTACTTTCAGGTACCACGAGTACGTTCTACGCGACGCAACATGACGACGTATGTAGAGCGAGATGTACAATGACTTGCGCGCGGCGTGGCGGTCCTACTTCAGCGACAACCTCGACGACCCCACGGTTGCGATGGTAGCGCATGCCGAAATGGATAGTTCAACACGGACACCGCGTCGCGACTGTAGAACATCCAAGACTTGCAGGACACGAGTATCTGCTGTGGCTTTGGTCCGCCCAGCCACTGCGTCGTACGACGCCTCTTTGCACGCGCCGTGTGAAGCAACGTCGTAGAACGATACCGCGCCATTGACGTCGTCCGATCCGAGCACCCCTCGCCAAGTCTGCGCGGCGACTGATGTACGGCAATGCGACAACCAGGGACTGAGTGTCTTTAGCCTAAAAAATACCCCACGACGCGTCTGTGCTACGCCGGCGGTGCGTGTGACTTTGACCATCCCATCGGAAGCTGCGGCGTCAACGGGGCAGGCGTCTACTCCAAAGGGTAAGACGCCGGCTACAGATGCGTCTTGGATGTTCGCGTCTGTCACATGTACTACTCACGCGTTTCCATAGCTGTGCGAGCGCGCTGCACCGCTACCACGCCGCGACGGTGCGCACAGCCGCTTCCTGCTCGTCTGCTCACCGTTTCCATCGATTTGTAGCTGCAGACAATTTGTATTGTCGTCCTCGCAACGCTCGTTTTACCCGTGGGCGGCATCATCATATTAGTGGCGTGTCGAACGACGACTTTTGGACTAGGCCGTTGGCAGCTGCACCACGCTCTGCCTCTGCTTTAAGCGCAAGGACGAAGACGTGATGCCATCGCACCTGCACATTAGCGTCCGCCCGCCGAGCATGACCAAGGTCTACTGCCGCGCGGACGTCGAAAAGGCCGAGCGAGAATGGTGATCGCTGCTGTCATCATTTGTTGAAGACAGTATTGTCATCATCGACGCGGTGCCATCCACGTAAAAATTCTCGTGTGCGCGAGCCGCGCGTGTGCAATCATTTTTCACCTTTTTCACGTCTGCCGCACGTTCGAGTGGCCATCTGGTGCCTGCAGCTGCGACCACAAGCACGTGTGACTCACGTGTGGCACAAGCCATTTACCACGTCTTTTTCACCTTCGGCACACGCGTGGTTGCACGTAAGTGGAACGCGTCGGCTTTATCGCCACGGCGCGACCTCGACTGCATCCATACAGCTACGCTCTATGCACGTGCTAGAGCGATCTGTCCAGACGACTTTCGCGCAGACATGGCATCGGCGCGGATGGAGCTGGGTTGTTACCATTTCCCGCACTCATGTTTCACACGCCTGTTTTTCACTGGATGACGTCCGGAGGGTGGGAAATGCAAACTCCGGAAAAACTCCGGGATCCAAGGCCAGAGTCCTCGCGGCTAGTTCTGAAAAAGCCCGCCCATCTTGGAGTGGACGCGTTCATGCATGGCGAGGAAGAAGGGCGGCAAAGGGAAGAAGCAGCAAGTAGAAGCTCCTCCGTATGTCCATGAGGACGCGCCCGCAGCATGCGCCGAGCTCCAAGCCGAGGAGATGGAGGTGCTCCAGGCCATCTACGGCGACGAGTACGCGCCAGGGACGTCGATCAAGGGCTTCAAGGCCTTCTCGATCCGCATATCGAAGAAGGGCGCCGAGTCCTTGACGCTCAGCAGCGGTGGCATCAAGGGTGAGGCCGGCGTGACCTTGGCCGTCGAGCTCCGCAAGGGCTACCCGCTCACGGAAGGGCCGGACCTCTTTCTCGAGGACGCGGACGGCCTCACGGAGAAGGAGGTCGACGAGCTCGAGTCCTTACTGCGCAAAGCAAGCCGCGAGAAGGTTGGCGAAGGCGTCATGATCCACGACCTCGTCATTGCCGCCGAGGAGTACATCATTGAGCACGTCAAGGACCAGCGGTCGTTCTTTGAGCAGATGGTCAAGCGCCAGCAGCAGATCGCCAAGAAAGAAGCCGAAGAGCAGCGAATACAGCTCGAGGTCGAGCAGGCCAATGCGATGAAGGAAGAGCAGCAGCTCCAGAAGATCATCCAAGACGAATACCTCAAGATGCAAGCAGCGATCCGCGGCAAGCACCGCGCGCGCGACCGAAAAGATGGCGACGACAATTCATCGTCCTCGTCCGGCTCGGGCTCGTCCTACGGCTCGTCGGACGAAGATGGCGACGACTCACTCCCGTCCGAGGACGACGACGACGACGGCGACTTTGACGACGCGGTGAGCGCGCGGCTCGCACACTCGCGCTACTTTTCCGACTTTAAAGAAGACAAGGTCCTCGGCCGGTGCGGTGGCGGCGAAGTGCTTCGGGTGCAAAATCGCCTCGACCGGCAGTGGTACGCCGTCAAGCGCATCAAGCTGGACGCGAACGACCCGACAATGAAGAAGAAGATCTTGCGCGAAGTCAAGACCATCTCGCGGCTCCAGCACCGGTACATTGTCCGGTACGCCGTCGACGCGTGTCTTCTCGAGTGATGACGCGGTATCGACATAGGTACTTTCAGGCGTGGATCGAAGGCGACAACGATGCAGTGTCTGGCAACGTGTCGCACGACGAAGAGGACGACTGGTCCGACGATTACGAAGACTCGTCGTCGGACGACGACGACGACGAGAGCAGTGGCCTCCTCGACGACGATGACTTTATCGGTGGCAGCAACAACCGGTCGCGCACGTATTTCAAGTCGACGGCCACCTCGACCAAAGGCAAGTCGCTCAAGAAGCACATGTCGTTCTCGGAAGAAGAGATGAGCGACGCGCCATGGGACGACGACCCGACGACGCGGTACGCAGACCAGTGGGAGTGGACAGTCGACGAGCACCGCGAAGTGAAGAAGCCGCCGGTGCGGAAACCCACCAAGGAGAAGCTGTACATTCAGATGGAGTACTGCGGCGGGAAGGCGCTGCGCGAGGTCATTGACCACATGTCGCTCTACAAGGACGAGGACAAGGTCTGGACGCTCTTTCGCCAGATTCTCGAGGCGATTGTGTACATTCACAGCCAAGGCGTGATCCACCGCGATATCAAGGTACCGTCTTGCGTGCCATGTCCTTGACTCAGCGCGTTCTGTAGCCGCCCAATATCTTTTAGATGCGGAAGGCACTGTCAAGCTCGGAGACTTTGGCCTTGCGACCAAGCCACCGAAGGACGAGGTCGATGACGATGGTCCTGAAGCCGACGCGATGCAACCGCCGTCGCTTGACGAAGACCATTTGCGCGAGATCCCCATGTACGACTCGTTGCACCAGCCCATCGATTCCGACGATGACGCCGACTCGGTGTCGTCCAAAGTGTCGCTGAACTATGAGAGCATCAACATTACCGCGGGTGTCGGCACGGCGTTCTACCGCGCGCCCGAGCAGGAGAAGGAAGGCCAGCGCTACAACCAAAAGGCCGACATGTTCTCGCTCGGGATTCTCTTTTTCGAGATGTGGTCGCCGCCGTTTACGACGCTCATGGAGCGCGCCGAGGCACTGATCGAGCTGCGCGAACGCAACGTGCTCCCGAGTACCTTTGTTGCGCCCGCAAACGTCAAGCAGATCATCCACTGGCTGTGCCAGAGCAACCCGACGGCGCGCCCGACGGCCGGCGAGCTCCTCACCAGCAACCTCTTGCCGCCCAAGATGGAAGTCGAGGAAAAGTACCTCAAGGAAGCGCTCCAGACGCTGGCGAACCCCGAAGGCACGTTCTTCGGCCAGCTCATGCAAGCGCTCTTTGTGCAAGACCCCGTCGACCACGTCGATTACACGTTTGATGTGCTGCAGCAGCGAAAACCAAAGCCGTCGCTCGTGTACCTCGAGAGCCACTGCCGCGCCGACGTCAAGAAGACGCTCGAAACCATCTTTGAGCGCCACGGCGCAGTCGAATTTGTACGTCGATTTCTTGGTCGCGATGGGAATGCTAACGCGACGGTAGGTGCCGCCGCTGCTCATGCCCAAGCGCCTCAGCAGCAACTTGCACGTGAACGCGTGCTGCTACCTCGACACGGCCGGCGTCTCGGTCGTCCTCCCGTTCGACTTGACCGAGCCATTGGCGCGGTACGTGGCGCGCAACGGCCTCTCGCAGCTCAAGCGCTACCACTGCGGCCGCGTGTACCGCAAAACGATCGGCGGCGGCCACCCGCGCGAGCTCCTCGAAGCCGACTTTGATCTAATCTGGGACGACCGAAGCTTTGCGCGCGTCATGGAAATCGAAGTGCTCCACGTCGTGCACGAAGTGCTCGAGACGCTCGGCCTGAGTCCGTGGTTTCTCCGCATCAACGACGCACGGCTCGCACGAGGCATTCTCGACGCCTGCGAGGTGCCGCACGCGTGCCGACGCGACGTCTACAAGCTCTTGTCGCAAGAAGCGTCGCCCCGCCCGTCGCCGCGTGTGGTCAAGAAGCTCAAGGAGGCGTCGGTGCCCGCAGAAGCCGCGGCCTTCCTCCAGCCGTTCTTCCAGCTACCAAAGGAGCCGCTGGCGGCGCTCGAGTCGATCGAGGTGCTTCTCGACGGCATGCGGTACCGTGTGATCCACGAGACGTCCAACTTGAGCAAGCGAGAGCAGAAGCGCGAGAACCAGCTCAAGAAGGCCATCAAGGAAGCGAAAGAAGGCGCGGGCTTTCTCCGGCAGCTGCTCCAAGGCATCGAGCTCGAGCTGCCAGCGATGAACGTCCACTTTGATTTGGGACTGAGTCCGCGCCAAGAGCAGTTTTCGTCTGGTCTTGTGTTTCAAGCCGTGCACGAGCACAGTAACCACCCGCCCGAGACCGTCGCGGAAGGCGGGCGCTACGATGCCATGGTGGCGCGCTACCGCCTTCCCGCCGCGCGCGTGCAAATGCCGGCGGTGACCGCCGTCGGCGTCCGCTTCTCGATTGACCGCATCGTCACGAGTGTACTCAACCCGTCGGCGACCAACGGCGCGTGGCGCCATGCAACGCCCCTCATCCTCGTGTGCTCGGACAGCCCCAGCGACACGCTCCTCGCGCGCATGCAGATCGCAGCCATGCTCTGGAAAGCCGGCGTCTCGGCCGAGTTTTGGCATCCCGACCACAAGGACCTCGAGGAGCACTGCGCGGCGCTTGGCGCACAGTGGATGGTGATCGTGCGCAAGCACTTGCTCAAGGAGAAGCGCGTCGTGCGTGTGCGTAACGTCAAGAACCCGGGAGATGGCGACGTGACGATGCCCGTGAGCTCGCTCGCGTACTTCTTCGCAGAAAAGATGGACACGATGAGCAACGGGCTGCGCTACCGAAGCGGGAGTTTCTCGGTCGCGGCGTCGCACCAGTATGCGTCAAGCCACGACGAAGCATTGGGCGTCAAGGAAAAACCCATGTCGGTCAAGCTCGAGGTCAAGGTCGTCGATACCAAGGTGACCAAGGACAAGCAGCGGCAGCGACAGGACGTCATGAACGTCGAGCGGCATGTGACCAAGTGGCTGAGCTCGTTCTTGCTGCCGTCGCAAACCAACGAGCCGGCCAAAGTGCTCTCCGTGGACGTGCCGTTTGTCGTTTTGCGGGAGTTTGCGAGCCACTTTATGGACAACCGGGCGAGCGCGGTCGAAGACGTGGGTGGGAAGCACCCCAAGTACCGCAAGGTCCTCAAGCAGCTGGCCGAAGAGATCTTGGACCTCGAGCTCATGGACTATTGGCGTGGAAAGCGAGAGAAGTACCTCCTCTTGCATTCGAGCTGCGACGACCGATACGACATGATGTCGATCACCGAGTCGCGCTCGGGCCATGGCAACGGCAAGTCGCGACGGGCCCTCGGGACGCCCGGGCGAAGGCTCGATTAAGAAAGCTTGTAAAACAGTGTGGTTAGTTGGTACCCTTCGATTTTTTACGGTAGCATCCTCCAATGTACTAGTACATGTCGTCGAGATTATATTGCCTCGTTCGCCGTCACCAGACATCACCAAGGGTCAATAAAGAACTGTCAATAACTGTTTATTGACCCTTGACATCACCTACACTAGTATAGTGGTATTGCGACTATGATGGACAAGTTGTCCATATTTACGCGCTTCCTGTCCGCGGCCTCTGTTAAAAGGTCCACCATTCTTTTCTCGGCAATAACGTCTTGCAGACACGACTGTACTCGAACGCTGCTGCACTCGACACGTCGACATCATATCCACGGTGCTATGTGCGGAGTGCGGTCGATGGACAATCCATGTCCATGCTAGGCGGACGACCCAATCGTGACTAATGGTATACACATAGAATTGAAATGCAAAGTGTAAAATCTATATTGAGTGTGGAAGCGCTCGCATCGCAGCGCGTGCTTTAGCTCGTGCCGACGTACTGGAGCATGATGAGCGAGATGGCCATGATGAAGACGCCGCCCATGAACGAGAACGTAAAGTTGGCGCCGCCAAACTTGAAGGCGCCGGGAAGGAGTTCCTTGACCGTGATGCAGACAAGCATGCCCGACACCATCGAGTACAGAATGCCCGAGAGGAGGGGCGTGACACCGCCCGAGACCGTCGCCCACCCGATGAGCGCGCCGCACGGCTGCGCAATACCACTGAGGCCCGTCCAGAAGAACGCTTCCTTCTTGCTGTTGGTCGCATAGTAGACGGGCGCGGCAATCGCGACACCTTCGGGGAAGTTGTGCAAAATGATGCCGACGGCGAGCACGATACCGGCCTTGAGGCCCTGGAGCGACGTCACAAAGAGCGCGAGACCTTCGGGGAAGTTGTGGATCGCGATGGCAATGCCCGTGAGCACACCGGCACGGCGGTAGCCCTGCTTCTTCTCGCCCTCTTCGTCGACTTCGGCAACAATACCGTGGCTGTGGCCGTGCTTCTGGAAGTCGGCGTCAATCGGCGTCTGCGCATCTTCCTCCAAGACGTTGCGCGACTCGGGGCCGGCGCCGCCGAGGTCCTTCGTATGGTAGTCAAACACCTTGTGCACGAGGTACTCGACGAGGACGATGACGAGGACACCGCCGTAGAAGCAGCCGACCGTCGCGAGCCACGCCTGGCCGGCACACGTCTTGTCGCAGATCGGCGCGACGGCACCCGGCGGCGCGAGACCGTGCTCGATCGCTTCGAGATCGACGTCGCCGCCAACGGCAAACTCCGACTTGAACTTTTCGATCGACTCGAGGAAGAGATCGACGAGTGCGATGAAGAGCATGACACCGGCCGAGAGCGCGAACGTCATCGCGAGCGCCTTGTCCCCGGCGAGGAAATTCAGGCGCGGGATAGAGAGGACGAGGACGGACAAGGTCGTCGCCATACCACCGAGGATACTCATGCCAATCGCGGTACCGATGACCATGGACGTGATTTCGGGCTCGCCCGCGACCTTGCCGTCGTCGATCGCGTGGTCGTCGTCGACGTCCGTGAGCTGGAACCACGCCATCATGCTGTTGTCTTCGTGCTCCATGATGTGGCAATGCGCGAGGTACGGCTCCTTGGTGTCAAAGCCAAAGTCCGTCGGCGCGCGCGTGCTGCCTTCCTTCAAAAACTCATCCGGCGTGCACGCGACGTAGCACACTTGGGTGATCGCGAGCTGGTCCGAGAGGTCGGCGTTCGGGATAACCACGACGTCCTTGAGACCGTTCTTGTCAATGTGGTCGTCGTCCGGCCCGCACTGCGCGTTGACGAGATGCCAATGGAACGGGTGCACGTCGTCGGTCGGGTTCTTGAACTGCCACTTTTCGACCTTGCCGCGCGTGCAGAAGAGCTTGTTGTGGACCATCGAGACGTTGGCGACCTGCTGGTACTGCGTGATCATGAGCTGCGTCGGGCACTGCTCCATCGACTCCATCTCGCCGAGCGTGATCGTGCGGAGCTTGCCGTTCGTCGACTTGTAGAGCTCCTGGAGGTCCTTGTACTTGTTGAGGTGCGTCGGGATCGGAACCGCGACCGCGTCTTTCGTCGGCGCCGTCACACGGATCTGCATGATCTTCGGGTCGTAGTCGTACGACGAGTCGCAGTCCGAGTCAATGTCTTCAACGTCAAACGTCGTGCCGACGGCGACACCGGAGAAGTCGCACACCATCTCGATACGCTCGAGCGAGAAGAGCTTGAACCCATCGACCGCGATCGGCTTGGTCTCCTGGACGTAGCCGGTATCTGTTGCGATCTGCGTGCACTTGGACGCGAACGGGAGCGTGAAGTTGTAGTTGCGCGAGTTGGCGAGGTTCACGAGGCGGAAGCGGACTTGCTGCGCAGGCACCTCGAGGTACGGCTGCACGACGCCGTTGACCGTGTTGACAGCGCCAAACGACTCGGGCATCCACACCGAGCCTTCAACGGGGCACGTCACGACGCTCGTGTACATGAGCTTCCCGGCGGGATCGAAGAGACGGTCCGAGATCATGAGCGGGATGTCGACGACGATCTTGTCAAAGCCAAACTTCTTCTCGACGTCGTCGTCGCGGATGATGTACATGCCGGTGAGACCCGCCCACATATTGAGGCGCGAAAGACCGATCGCGTGGTCGTGGTACATCTTGGTCGAGCTCGACTGCGAGTTGTTGTACTTCGACGTGTACGTTTGGTTCTTGTAGATCGAGTAGTGGGGAGACCGTCGTACTGGGCGGCGTTTCGAGGCCGTGGATGTGCGTCGAGACCGGAATACCGCAGTTGGGGAAGCACGCCGACTCGGAGTGGAGGAGGTTGCTGTCAATGTACTTGGCGAGCAGGTGCGTCGACATGCCGAGACCGTTGTGCCACGTGACTTCGATCGGCACATTGCGCTTGACGAGGATCGTCGGGCCCGGCGTCGTGATGTTGCCACCGACCTTGCCGTAACCGTATGCGGCCGATGCCGGCACGCCAGCCTGCCACGTGTGCGTCGTTTCGGAGATCTGCATGTCAAGCGACCCGCCCTTGCGCATGTCGAGCACGTCGGGCACGACGAGGGGCGTCGAGTACGGCTTGAAGTCGGCGTACATCGCTTCGTTGGACGTGGCGCGCGGCGGCGGGCCGGGCGTCGGGGCCGGCGCAGCGAGGACGAGGCCGACGACAGCCGCAGCGGTAGCAGTGAGCTTCAACATGCGTCGCAAGCGGCGAAATCAAAAGTGAGCTCCACAGCAACAAGGTTTGGAGCCAAAATCGGACTTGGAATAACTTCAACACAAAGTGCTATGGCGTACCACAGTACACGCTTCGCGAAAGTGCACTTGAAATGGACGGACGGACGGGCGCGTAGAAAGTGCAGCTCGCTGTTGCAAAGCACCTCAACGACGCTTTGGCGTGGGCGCGTGGCCGAGCGCCAATGAGCGCCAAGCAAGATCGGTCCTACGAGGCCGCAACGTTTGATTGGGCGGTTGCCTGCGTCCTTGGCGGCATTGCTCACGTGAAAGCAGCGGAAGGTCACATATTATGCACTGCAAACGACGCCAGAAGCTCCTCTGCAGCCGTTTAGCTCGTCGTGCAGACGGGGTACTCGGGGTTTGTATGCATGAACTGCATCGGGTCCTACGGTTGTCGCAGTGTCCGTCATCCGTGCGGCACTTGGCACCGGTGGGTGAGAGCAAGTTTGTATATGGGTGGCAACCAGGTGGGTCAAATCTGAGGCCGCTTTGTTGAAGGAGTAGCCGGCGTCGCGCAGTCCGAGGGCGTGTGACATGTTCCAGCTCCATCTTGGAGCTTCTCCAGCCATTCGCAAAGCACTGGAGAATGCAATTCGAACCCACGAAGGACGCCGCCTGTTCCAGCGTCGAGTACCGCGCCGCCAACCGCGGAAGTATCATGGACGAGGTGCAGAGAGGTACGGAAGGGGGCGTGAGAGAACGAAAGTCATGCGGTATATACCGGTATGTACCGCGGCAACTTGCCGCTGACGGCAAGGCTGTGAACATGGCACGAGTAGAGGTTGACGCCCGTGGCAGAGGGCTGGACATCCTCACCATCCAGCGTCGAGAGCACGCAGCTTATGCAGCGCTAGACTACTCTACCCTAGGTTGACGGAGAGCGCAAGCACTGCTACTAGATACAAGCCAAGACCCGGCGACTCGCACGACGCATGGAGAAGCTGCAACGCGGATGCGCCCGCAGGAACCTCCATCGTGTGGCAGGTAGATGTGGTAGATATGGCGAGATACCATATTTAAAGGAGACGCGCAGCGGGTGTTTAATTGTGGCAAATGTGGCATTCCGCCATATTTACGGGCCTGTTAAAATGGGATCCCGTTGCCCCGTAATTCTGGTAAACATGGCAAAACGCCAAATTTAAGCCGGCCCGCCCAATCCATCGTTTTTGTATTGCGCGTTTCCGGCTTCTCCCACAGACGATGTCGTCGAGCTTGGCCAAGGCCCGCGAAGCCGCCAAGGCCGCGCAGACGCAGCGCGTCGAG